GGGGTTCTTTGAATAAGTCTACATTAAAGTCACATGTTAAGATAATTTCTGCATCGTCACAGCAGGAGGCACAGTTAATCTCTCTAGCCAGGTCCTCTGCCCAGCAGGAGGGAGCAGATGGTGGACGATATGCTGAACAGTAATAAATTGGTTTAGAATTTTTAATCTTTAATTCCAGCCAAATTGTTTCAATATTATTGATTTCAAAATCAGGCCTACGTTTATATCTTATATTATTAGAAATGTAGACAATAATTCCACCACCTGCTCTCAGAATGCGATCTTTTCTTTCCATATCGAAACCCTCAATATACAATTCAGAATCACTGACTTGGTCATTCAAGAAGGTTTCACAAAGTCCTAAAATATTTACAGTTTGTTTGTCATGAAGTAATAGTTTAATTTCTTCAATTTTAACTTGCAAGATACTAGTAACTATGTTCACATGTGATAAATTATGTTGCAATGTGATATCAACACATTTGAAGTTGATATAAAAATCCGTCATTTTTTATGGGAAACTTAATAGAAAAAGAAATTTTCATAACAACAAATTTTACATATACCATATGTTGTCGTAAATAGTCACATGACAACAGTTTTATCTCGCATGTTGGGACACATGTAAATAAAACGTTTCCAGAAATATTATATTGACATGAATGAAACATACATGTATGGAGATAACGAACAGTATTCGGATCAAAAGTCCATAAAAATATACAAAATAGGAGCAAAGCAGACACGGATCTCCAAAACATCAGAGATGGGAGCAGATGCCATGGAGGAGTAAGCATCTTATGCTTATATGATCATATGATCATATGATTCTTATATATAAAAATGTTTTGCATTAATTCGTAGCTTAAATTAAAAAAAAATGTCAGCAAGAGCTGAATAGAGAAAAAAAAGAAACCTACCCAATCAAATCTAAATTAATTTTTTGGAAAACAAATTATATAATGCATCCCTCAAATAATTATTTTTAAAATAATAGTAAATAATTACCTGCACGTCCACCTCACTCGGCATTTCAGTTGCGAATGCTTAAAATGGGATACTAAATCAATTTTCTGCTAAAATCATCTGATTGGTTGAGAGATATGTCCCCAAATACGAATGTAAATTGGTGAGGTCATTAGAAAGGTCATGTCACAAGTCATTTAGAATACTCGTTTCCTACTGTATCAGAGATACAGGGCGGGGCCCGGCTCGAGCTATCGCTCTCGCCTCAAGCCCCGCCCTGTATCTCTGATACAGTAGGAAACTCGTACTCTAAATAATACTTAAAAATAGACTGCACTTGACATAGATGACTAATTTTTATGATATGTTTCATAAGGAATGCATGTTTTCAATAAAGGTACGTTTTTTACTACTGAGTTTTGAAAAATTGTAGTCACTTTCCCAACATGTAGATTGAACGCTTCATTTATTTTAATATAATACAGTAGATTAATATACTAGTCATTTTTGGCTTTGTTCAGGTAACAGAATTTCAGGTTTTTTGTTACATGATTTTATGTTTGTCATTCTTTTTTGCCCTTTGTCCCTTAAAAATGATGGCTATGCATGCATTGATGTGTAAATACACCTAATATATACTCACCGTCAATAGAAACGCAACACCCTAATTTTAGGGGTGAAAATTATATACGGGATATAACTATGTACCAAAAAAGTTAGGACATCTTTTACTTTGCCAAATCAGTTATTTAACGGTTGAATGATTTTCATTCCATTACCGGAAGTTGATTTTTAGCTCCCTGAACAGAAATCAAAAAATAGCATTTTTAATAAAATTATTGACAATATTTTGGGTTTTCAAGGTTTTGTACCTGTTAATTATAAGTCTTGTACTAAAAGTCCGGAAAAAATATCCTTCTTTCTCTTCCGGATGTGATGCCTGTATTTTCTCAAAGTAACTGAAAGCACGCATTTTCATTGCTAATGTTGGAAATTTTCAAAATAAAGAAAAGGGAGAGCTACAGATGCAAATATACACTACATAACGACTTTTCGGGCTCATATGTTTCAAAAGCATGAATGACAGTTCCTTGACCGGAAGTCCAAGGGTTACTACACTACGCCAAGTTAGAGAAAATTCGACCTCAGGATCTGAAAAACAGGCATTTAAAAAAGGACAAGAATATTTATTTCGCTCAGATTAAGACATTGATAAACTTAATGCATGGTAGAATTCGGGCTGCTTATATTGTACATGGCAGACTAGCACGTTTTAATTGAATGGTCGGAAGGGGGGATGTTTTAGAGTTATGTGTTACTTTATAAGGTTTAAAGATAAGATTAAGAATGAATACATAAATGTAAAAAGTAAATTTACAAAACAATGATACTTCATTTGAACTTTAAATGTTATCTTTAGACCTTAGAAAGTAACACATAACTTTTAAAACATCCCCCCTTCCGACCATTCAATTAAAACGTGCTAGTCCGCCATGTACAACATAAGCAGCCCGAATTCTATCATGCATTAAGTTTATCAATGTCTTAATCTGAGCGAAATAAATATTCTTGTCCTTTTTTAAATGCCTGTTTTTCAGATCCTGAGGTCGAATTTTCTCTAACTTGGCGTAGTGTAGTAACCCTTGGACTTCCGGTCAAGGAACTGCCATTCATGCTTTTGAAACATATGAGCCCGAAAAGTCGTTATGTAGTGTATATTTGCATCTGTAGCTCTCCCTTTTCTTTATTTTGAAAAATTCTTACATAAGCAATGAAAATGCGTGCTTTCAGTAACTTTGAGGAAATACAGGCATCACATCCGGAAGAGAAAGAAGGATATTTTTCCGGACTTTTAGTACAAGACTTATGATTAACAGGTACAAAACCTTGAAAACCCAAAATATTGACAATAATTTTATTAAAAATGCTAATATTTTATTTCTGTTCAGGGAGCTAAAAATCAACTTCCGGTCATGGAATGAAAATCATTCAACCGTTAAATAACCGATTTGGCAAAGTAAAAGATGTCCTAACTTTTTTGGTACATAGTTATATCCCGTATGTAATTTTCACCCCTAAAATTAGGGTGTTGCGTTTCTATTGACGGTGAGTATACATTCATTATCCTCCAAAACACGCTATGTAAACAACTATTAATAACAATAAATGATATAAATGGAAAGTAATATTTACTGATCTGATAAAGTGCTACTATCATTTATAAGTTCAATTATTGTCATTTATCTGATAAAATGTGGGGTGAAGCATCATAACAACAGGTAATATCTAATAGACATATATGTCATGTAAAATAAAAGTGAACTTTTTTTAATTCAATATTGCTATATATCAAATTTTATCATTTATATCTTCAGTACAATGCAGATTTGTTAATAATTTCTAATTCAGTTTAAGTTCCGATTTATGAATTTAATCTTCATATTAACATTCTTAAATTTCAACGACTACAATAATTGTACATAACATCAAGGTAAAACTTTTGTGTTTGTCTATTGACACGAGCCCGATCTATCAATGTTAATGTTTACGTTTTTTCCACCTGTATTCGTAAAGGACAATCATAATTCTGTGTGTAGTTTATGAAATATTATCTTTTGAAAGTGGAAGGATGTATGTCAATCAATCACTTCCCGATATTCGTAGTTTTTATATATATATATATATATATATATATATATATATATATATATATATATATATATATATATATATATAATTTTTAACACATTTAATAACATAAAAGGTTGGTCCAGCAACACATGTATGTAAGTCGTGATATAATATCCAAATTTAAGAAAACGTGAATTTCAAATGATTGTACATGCTCCAATTACCTTATTTTATAAAAAAAAAAAATTGATATTTTACTTACTGAATTTTGATGAAAGGCAGACATTTTAGACATACATTTTGACGCCCTACCACGGTGTTTTAAGTTTCGGTTACACAAGATTAAGTCTACCTTCAAGGTTGAAGTATTTTTAATGGGATGCACACAATGATAATTGTTCGCTTGCGTTCTCTTTTTACCTTGGTTATAATAAGGAAGCAGAAAGTTGATGCATTTATTCAGTACAAAAACACTTTCTAAAGATAGATGGACCTATACTTTTATCATTGTTCTTTTTCTTCATCTTCAAATCCCTCTAATATTTAAACAATAATCAATACATGTTTTGGAATATGATTGGTAGTACCCCGTACTTGTGCAATAAAGTATATCAATTTTCATTTACATCCTACAGAAGGCAATCGGGTACCTTAAAACTTTGTTCATAGAACTTCTTACGGTTAATACGGTAACCAGATCATCTTCTGTAATATTAATGATAAGGACTTGTAGATAGTCAAATAGTTTTACCTTAGAGATCAGTTGGATAGGGGTTAAAATGATGCTTTTCCCATCAAGTGCTTTTTCTGGTTCTCAGTATTTCTTATACATGTCTTAGAGTGTTCCGATATATCATAAATACACGATTCCAAGTGTTATCAATTTGCTTTACCATTATTTCCTTGCCCGTATAAATTCACGCTTCTTTGTCTTAAAGACTCGGATATAAAAGAAAATTGTTTGCATATATGTTCTTAATCAATGACCACAACTTATTTCTTCTTCATCTCTTCTATATATATATCAAGATTTAATTGAATTATTTATGACTGACTTTTTAAAGAAGTCCACTGTTTGTTTCCAGTTTCATCTGAAATGGTCAGTAATTTAGATTCGCCAATCGTAACCACCTCCTCACTCTCTTTTTTTTTTTTTTTTTTTTTTTTTTTTTGCATTTTATTTATAGATTTTAAAAGTATACGCTTTATTGCTCATCAGTTGGGACTAATGTGCACCTTATACTATCTTGTGACATCTAGTTTTAGTTTCGCTTTATGTGCAACAATGTGCAACGCTGACCTCATTCTGTTTTAAAAAAAAAGAAGGAACAAAGACTTCGTTATTCGTTTTCACAAAACTAGTAAATTAAGTAATTATAATTGTGTGTGCATTTTATATAATATTTAACTACATTTTCCTTGAGGGTGAATGGTTCGTGTCAGAGATTATAAGGTAACATTTCTTATAAATAAAGATCACGACATTTTTTCTGTTATTCGTTAAAGAATTTGAAATAAACTATGACAGATGAAAAGAACATTAACACTAAAGTCAAACTGAGGATGGTTAAGCAAATTCCTCTGCTCAAGTTAACCATTGCCGATTGATATTTTAATACCACTATCAATTTGTTTTACTACAATTGCATAAGAGAATATTTACATGTACAACGTTTTTTCTATACTTTCATTATTTTAAAATTTCTTGTCCTTATGAGGATGTTTATATCTAGCAGGAAGGTATTTCTGGATGAAAGAGGTGATATGACTGGACACTACATCTGCCATATTAGAATTCCTTGACATGGAAATTGTTCTGCTGTGCATGATTTATACAGTATGTAACTAATAAAAAAATCACCCCAAGAAAACCATAGTCAACCTCGGTTGCGCCTCGGTTGACAATGATTTTCTTGGGGTACATTATGGCACGCCGATTGGTTCAAAAGTATTTTCTGCACGACCTTAAACAAAAATTACACGAGTAAGACAAAACTTACACAAAGTGAGGAAAATACACACAAAGTTATTGAAATTTACACAAACTATACAAAAACTACACAATTAACAAAATATTTACACGATTTAATGAGAAAATTACACAAACGTAAAAACGAAAACTGCACAAGTGAGAATATACAACGTCGACATAATATACGACGCATCCTCATTGCGCACATTTCATTAATATTCATTAGAGAACAGCTCAGTGTGGTTTAGATGCTTGAAACATTATAAAACAAGAGGATGAGTAATGTGTTAACAATATTAATCTTTTAAAAAAGATTCAGTCTTTCAGAATTATGCTAGACTCTCAAAAATATGCACAACGTGTTTTACACATGTAAAAATTGACAGGCACACAATATGCATATAAATTAACACCCCCGATTAAAAATATTCTACACATGTATAGATAACGTAAAAAGGGGGGGGGGGTGCATATATATTATCAGTTGCGTGTTTTTATGTTATACCTCTATATAGCAATATCTTTTGAAAGTTCAAAACAATGATATTATCATAGTAAAGGCAAATAAATAAAAACAGCGTGAAGTACTACAGGAGAGTTAACAACAAATCAAACTCTTCTCCTCCACCACCCACTGTGTGTACTTTGGTAATAATTAAGGATGTGCGTGACCTTTTCATATCGAGAGATTCCTCCCTGCTGGTTCTGGAATGAAAGACACCTGTACGCTAATCGATTTATAGTAACTGTTATTTGACACATCAATAATACCTTTTGATTGAAGGTTATTAGCAATTCATACAGAGATTTTGAAGCAATGTTGCTGTCATCTGGGTTGTGGAATTTGCCAGATACATTTTTAGAAGTAAATAGTAAAAAAAAAAAAAAAAAAAAAAACGAGCAAATAATTGCGCAACTTTAATTTTAATATTGACACGAATATATCATTTTTTGAAATAACTATGAATGTGAAAAAGTAGTACATGTAGTCTTAAATTTTGAACAACGTGTGGTGATTACATAAATACATGTATCCATGAAAATTTAGTAAAATTATACAGTCGTTTTACTTATGTGAATTTAAGCTAAATTTCTGTCTGTTTAGTGTAGATTATTTTGAATAAGTAAAATGCATATAAAGGAGTTAACAATTTAAAATTATAATATGCAGATTCATATGTAATATCGCTTTTTAAAGTGAGGGGGCGGGGGGGGGGGGGGGGAATTACCTAAAAAACCTAATTAACGAGCAAAATAAGGTAAAGCGTTCAATCTCGAAAATCCTATTTCGTTGAGGTAGTGAGGCACCTTCAATTCTAATCCAACAACAAAAAAGGGGGCTTTCAGTGGACATTTTACAATGGAAGTAGGTTCTGTTTGCAAAACAACAACAAACAAAAAAAGGAGAGGGGGCAGCCCCCTCCTGATGCTACGTGCCTGAAATATATTTTTAAGAATTTAAGGGTACATGAAATAGCCGAACGATATCCTGGGATTTGCCTGCGTTCGACCTAACAAAAGTTAAAAATTGGGGGTTGGGGTCAACCAGCATGTAAAGAAAAAAATTACTATAACAAAATCTATACTCGAAAATAAAGGGGGGGGGGGTCTACAGGCCTGATTGACGATTAATTTCGTTTCATAATAATATAATCATGTTTTTCTTTATAATGACCATATATTTGGGTAAAAAAGTAATCTTGTAAAAAAAAAAAAAACTCAGTGTTTGGAAAATAATTTTAAATTAAAAAATCTTGAAGTCGAATTCGAAATGTAAACAGAATTTGTTGTCTTGGAAAATATTTCCAAGAGATCGAGCTCCATAAAGAACATGAATTTTTCAAGAGTGATAAAACGCGTTCTATGACACTGCTGTATCCATTCCAATTTTTTTTTCATTGCATCCTATTTGTAACATTATAGGTATAGATGTACTTAGTAAATCACAATGTTTTAAAAGTAACAAAAAAAAAAAAAAAAACACAAAAGCGCATGTACATAAAGCACAGAGAGTATATATGTTTTTTTTTATCTGGTCCTTTTTATTAAAATGAAAACATTTATCATGTAATCGCCATTATGAATGAGGGTAATGCTTACAAGAAATGTCATGTTTTTTTTAATTGAGTAGTTTATAACTGAAAATATGAGATTTCATGGAAGGAATTCATAACAAAGTAGGCTAAAGATCTCCAACCAAAACTGATATCCTGATTTTTTATAAATATGAATACATGTGTTATTAGAATGAAATATTTTTTTTAATGTTTGACATTAGATCTAAAAACATGCTGTGTACATCTAAGGTAATCCCAACTTAAGTTTAAAAAAATATATATCCAGCCAAATGAATATAGGTATATATAATGTCCTATTCCGAGTGGTAAAGAAAATAAAATAGGTACAAATGAAAAGTACCAAAATTAATTCTACAGCCTAATGATTATAATCAGCAATAATTCTGCCAATTTCATGAAGAATCAACTTTATTAATCGTTTGATTATGCAAATGTTAATTTTATATTTATACAAGTAATTTCCGTTAAAGTTGTATCTATAAATTAGAAGTTTTCAAAAGCTATAGAGAGTTTATTTAAATAAAAAACAAAACAAAATAATTCTAACATTTTTTTTTTTTTAGAAAATCAAGATCCTAGTCAGCCGTACTGTTTATCGTTAGGTACTTTTAGTTCGAAGTCGAGTGCATCATATGCAATGTTTTTTTCCCGCATTATACGATTCCTTCTTGTCACAATTTTTTTCCGGCATCAAAATAATACCTCCATATATTGGTTAGGATCTCGGTCAATATAAGATCAAAGGCCTGAAGGGCCACAATGGCGCCGCGCTTTAGATATGGCATTGAAACTGTTAAATTACTGGCATGTTTAAAAGCATGCATATGTCTATAGAATTATATAGCTTAGTTGTAAATAAAATATCCCGATTTGAGCATTTATGAAATAAAAACATTCAACTCATTAATCCAAGATTCTTCTGACTCGAACCCCTGCTTTTATATTGTTACTCGTGCAGGGGTTAGTATATAGGTCCCTTGTGCTAAACTTGAGATTCCAATTTTAGGGGGTTTGAAATTACTTTTCCTCTCTCTTAGGCCTAATTAATATAATTAACTTGTGCAATGTGTACTAAATGTACAGTTAGATCTGCACTGCCTTCGATCACTTTATTTTATGTAATGAAAGTTGTTTTCCTGGATTCCTTGACATGTACATAACTATCGTTTCTTTTTCTCTTTGTTCAATTTGTTCCTGCTGGTCCTGATAACCATTTTGTTCTATCGTAAGCCATTTTAAATTTTGATTTGTCAAAACAATCCTAGTTAATACGCCAGTTTCGAGATTGTAACTCTTCTGTGATAGAGGCGCAAAAAGTATCTATTTCGGCATGGAGGTGGGACAGGTTGTTTCTGTATACAAACGTGCATAAATAAATGAACGATATTTATGGATTTTAAAATTTATTAAATGTTGTAAAAAGATAATGATATTAAGCTGTGATGTATTTGATGATTTTATCAAGTTCAACTATGCATATTTACAAATTTACTTTAAATTATAGGTACTTGAAAACGAAATAAACGTCATAGTCTTAATAAAAAGTAACTGATTTTCTTGATTGTACAAACAAAAAGTTTGTGGGTTTTTTGAAGTTGTAATAAGGAAGAGAATCAATGTGTCATTTAGATCGCCTACGTACAATGTTCAGATGCATGTGTACCGTTTTTATTAGAGGTCCAAATAGCTTCCCTCGTCTGAAAAGTCTCACATCAACCGACATTTTCTTTTTTGTTACGATTTTTTTGCTTTAAAAAATGAGGTCTTTAAATTAAATCGGTTATTCTCGAAATGTAGAGTGCATCCCGACAATCATGTAGTTATGATAAACCGGTATATCGATGATACAATGTATCCAATATCAAACATTTGTCCCACCTGTTTGTTTACGCGGCAACGAAACTCCGGCCCCTCCCCAACGAAAGAGCGCACCAAGGGAGATAATCTCGAAACTTGCGTATTGTTTACACCTGGACTGATAATTTACTTGCCTACTGCACATAGCCCTCGGCATTGTTTACGTAGATAAAGCTTGGGTTGTAACTGGAAATTAAAAGTACAACCTAATTTACGAACCAAATCCGGAAATCGGCCGATAAGCATGACCCGCCATGTCATAAAAATAATCAGGTTAAGGGTCGAAAAGTAACCCGACGAAAGTGGGTGAGTTGGCAACTATCTACAGAACTGTTGAAATTGTATGATTTTCAAGCAATTTATGGAATAAACGCAAAAATTGGCATGTATATTCCTACGCCAGATACATGAAGGTCTTGGTTCGAGTAATATATTATTTGGCGCATGAAGAAAGCGGTGAGCAGTCAGAGATTTCCTCATAGCTAGATGTACAAGCTAAAGCTCGACGCCATAAAAAACGTAATATTTTCGAACAACTTTGAAGTATTCTCACACATAGATCACATAGAAACACTTCATTTGTTCGATTGGTATTAGCCAGAAATCGGATTGAGTTTTAGCAAAGAAATAAAGAAGCAAAATGCCATCGTCAACGCCATTTTCCATTCTCGATTATATCCAGTTAAGCATACATGAAGAGATAAAGAGTACAGAAAACCAAGAACACAATGAATATTCCATGTGCATAATAATGATATGCGCAGCTGTATGCGCAGTAAAATTGTTTGTGTAATTTTTAGTTTCCTCTGCTCGTGCAATTTTTTATTTTTGTTTGTGCATATTATACCCCTAAATCGTGTAAAAAATTTCGGATTCGTGTATTTTTCGTTATGTTTGTGTTAAAATATTTCAAACTATGTGCAATTTTTACCTATACGTGCAATTTTATTTTACTCGTGTATATTTTTCATCTAGTTCGTGTATAAAATCTTGATCGTTGTGCAGAAAATACTTTTGAACCAATCGGCGTGCCATAGTACATGACAAAAATTTTCATTTTCAATGCCACTCTCAACTACATTCAATATTTATACAATAGCTCGAGATGTTGGCAGTTCCTATCATATAAATTTGATAATTTTTTAAAACATTATTTCTTGCACTTGATTTCAAAAAAGAGGAACATACGAGGGCTGTTCAATAATAATGTCCTCGGTGCTCAGAAAGAAGCAAAAGACGCTTTTCAATGATTTGGTCTTTAGAACTCATTTTTAGGTATGACCCTTAGTATACTGGAAAATGACAGATCCAATAATTTCCTGGACTTGTTTCTTCCCTCTGAAAGGTGTATTTTTCAAGTTTGGAAAAAGAAACAAGTCAAACGGTCAAAGATCTTGCGAATATTGTTAATGTGAAAAAACACTAACTTTCTGTCTATCCCGACAACTCCTTTACTCTTCAGGGCATGTGGGTTTGGACGCTGTCATGAAGAAATTCAATATAGTGGATTCCACATTTTGGGTCCTTCCTCTAATAAGCCTTTAGATTTTTTTGCAAAAAAAATTGCTTTCTAGACTCCTCCAGAAATTAAACTGTCTCCCCGAATACGAATTTGAACAACAATAACACTAATATTTAAGAAAATTCCATATAAATCTGTCTTTGTGCTCTTGCATACCTTTGCTCTTGTCAGACCTTCCCCATTTTTATCAAGAACATCTTATGGTTAATTTTGTTTTGAGGGTTTTAAGCAATAGATTCATGTTACAATATCTGTTTGAATATAAAACAAACGTGGATAACTACAGTTAATCATATTTTAAAATAATTGTTAAGACTTTCGAACACGCTGTCGTTTTCACTCATTTTTCAAAATATAGGGTGACCTTTGGGTACCAAGCTTTTTTACCGTCAAACATTTCTTTAAAAAAAAATAATAAGTACTCCCGATATGATGTCTATCAAATTTGTTATGTGTCTTGAAGTCAATCATACATCATCAAATATTATTTGTTGTAATTTGGCGAACAGTACATAAGTTGTTAAATTTTTTTTTTGGCAAGGACGGTACCCATTTTTGATGCCCATTATATAATTTTTTATCATTGAAATCCACCTGCTCATTTGTCTACAAAACAGGCATTGGTTGCTGGAAATGTCACATATTTCAGTGAATATTTCTTTGGGATTTTTAACAAGTTTTACAACAGCTTTAATGAAGCTTTTATTTTCACTCTAGTTTACTGATTCTTTACCATTCATTTATAATGCAGTGTCTCGAATAGCCCTTGTTTCCCAGCTTCTCACGATGAAACTATGTGATGAAAAGTGGTCACATAAACTGTTATAAGTTCATTAAAGATTCACTAATGGGAGAAAGTCAAGTTTAATGTCATATGATATCTGTATTGTATGTCATACAGTTAAGGACATTATTGAATTATTGAACAGCCCTCGTATAGATTATTTTTACTTAATGTTATATGAAAACCCTTTCCTTTTTTATCGTTTTTATTTTAATTAACACTTGCATTTATGTGGCCTTAATATATGATTAAAGTGATACAACTGTAATTAATATAGAAATAATTGTAGTAGTGTGATAGATACCATTGCAATATATCTCCAGTTTTAATACTAGGGATGCTAAAATATTCCTTTTCCTAAGTCGAACATTCGATTGCATTTTTCGAACGATAGTCGACTATTCGGATCATTTTTTTTTTTTGCTGAAAAAATAATCTCATCGATAGCGTATTTATAAATCAAGACCCTTTTTATGTAAAAAACTAACATCAAATGCCTGTATTGCACACCGACTTTCAAGAGATTAGAGATAAGATAATGAAATGAAATAGATTTACACCAGCAGTTCTCCAAAATGTGCGAATTCTCGTTCACATTCGTTGGTCTGTATATTAGTCAGTTTTATTCTAGTAAGCTTACAGAATTTTCATGCAGCACGGTGTCTTTAGCTCACCTGAGCCGAAGGCTCAAGTGACCTCTTCTGATCAAAATTTGTCCGTTGTCTGTCGTTGTCGTTGTAGTCGTTGTTGTTGTCGTTGTCGTAAACTTTTCACATTTTTATTTTCTTCTCAAGAACCACTGGGCCAATTTCAACGAAACTTGCCATAAAGTATCCTTGGGTAAAGGGAATTCAAGTTTGTTCAAATGAGGGGCCAAGCCCTCTTCTAAGGGGAGATAATTATGAATTAATGAAAACTTTATGGCATCTTTTAAAAATTTTCTTCTCCAGAACCATTGGGCCAGGAAATTTGAAACTCAGGTTGTGTAGATTCAAGTTTGTTCAAATCATGATCCCCGGGGGTAGGGTGGGGCCAAAATGGCCGACCCAAGTTTTACATAGGAATATATAGGAAAAATCTTTAAAAATCTTTTCTCAAGAACCACTAGGCAAGGAAAGATGAAACTCATATGGAAGCATCCTCAGGTAGTGTAGATTCAAGTTTGTTCAAATTTTACCCCCAGGGGCTTTTTTTGATCATCCGCCGTTGTGGCCCCTATTCCCGGGGTCTTTATTTCAACAAACTTCAATCTACACTACCTGAGGATACTTCCACATGAGTTTCAACTTTTCTGGCCCAATGGTTCTGGAGAAGAAAATTTTTAAAAGATTAATTTTTTATTAAATCATGATACCTTTTTATTAACAATTTATAAATCTTTATAAATATGTGTTTCAGTTTATATCACATCCAGTAACACTAGGCTGTGATGATTCTGTGGCCACCGTCAAATTTGTGGAGAAATGTCCAGTCAGCAGCAAAGAATGGACAGCCAAAGCTGCAGATAAAGCCTGTCATGTCGTGAATCAATCGTGTACCTCTCCTGATAATTTCCAGTATCACTGTCTTATGAATCCATCAAGAGATTCCTACGTAGAAGTCTGCGCTCCACCACGAAATTTAATAGGTATAAAAGTTCTTGCCTTTCCACCAAATCATAATCACAACATCCTCCCTTATACGCAAATCAACACATATGTTCCCGTTTGCATCGTTCTGCATGCATTTGTGCAGTACATAAAATGTGTGAAATGTAATGAGATGGGGTTTTTTTTGTGAGTAACTGTATATTAAGTTTTATCCTGACCACTGGATAACATCATTACCCATGTACTACATGTATCATTGTGTGAGATATTTTAGTTCTAGGTCATTAAAAGATTCTTTCTCCAAGGGCGCCCTTTAGGCGATCGCGTCTGCGAGACAGAAGAAAAGGACATAGGGACAGCTGTAGAGAAAATGCTCAATGCAGGAATGTCTTTAATTTTGGACTTTAATCAACAAAACTGGTTCAGATGTCAGATGACCTGACAGACTAACCATATTAATTATAAATCACCTGCACAGCAAAATTCTAATGAAATGGTAGACTTTCTGGGTAGATCATAAATATTGTTTCTGATTCACGCGCTCATTCCCTTTCGTCGCCCGCGTGGCGCAGTGGTAAGAGTGTCTGCTCTACATTCGCGAAGTAAGGAGTTGATCCTTATGTCACAGGTTCGAATCCCACTGTGGGAAGTGGAGACTAGTCCTTCGGATGAGACCGTATTAAGCGAGGTCCCGTGTCGCATTAGATGCTGGCATGAAAAAGATCCCTCACTGCTCAATGACCTTGAGTTTCGAGTATAGGACAAAATTTGTAGCTCTCCACCGGCAAGTGGTGGCGTCTCCATATGATTGAAAAATTCTCGAGAGGAACGTTAAACAATATACAATCTCTCTCTCTCTCTCTCTCTCTCTCTCTCTCTCTCTCTCTCTCTCTCTCTCTCTCTCTCTCTCTCTCTCTCTCTCTCTTATTAAGTCAAATGCTGTCAGATGTCCTTCAAACGAATTGTTAGACCATCATTTGTTATTTTAAATGCTATTAAGACGAGGAGCACACTGCGAATGTGACCGGTCACCAGGGGATGTTCACCCCTCCATGGTACCTGATCCCACCTCTGATGATTTGGAGGTCCATTTATGCTGTGTTCCTGATTTGCATTGTTTAAAGGAATTTTTTTTAACTCGTTTACTGTTCGAAATCTTATTTTAATTTCATTTCAATGTGTCAAAAGGTAATTTTCGAGATTAAACTCTAAAGAACACACAACAATATAATTACTTAATTGTGATAAGTAAAAAAAAAAAGAAGATATTTCACTCATGAAAAGTAAAATTCAAGGTATAATATTTTACCCCTTGAACTTTAGGTGGTTTATGTCCAGAATTTAATTTGTTTGGATCACGGATACAGAATAATTACAATGTGGAATCGGATTGTAAACAATTTTCATCTCCATGCCCTACATATTACAGATCAACAGAAGTTTACAAATGTGAGTATATCTTAATCTATTTAATTCATAAAATAAATTTTCATTGTTTCATTGATATCACATTTCAAGTAGAGAATTTCGAATAGATCGGGTCTTTCTTAACAGAAACAAAATTCGGTTTAGCTTGTACTAGACAGATAAATACGAAAGTCCAGAAGGCTCATTCGAGATTCGAGTTTCAAAATACGAGATTCGAAATTCGAAAATCGAAATTCGAGTTTCGTTTCGTGATTCAAGATTCAAACGAACCAATCAAAAGTCGGTTTAAGTTTCAATTATTCCTCTTTGTTAAGTTTTTACCATCAAGAAATAGTTGAATATATTCAATTACAATGCAAGAAAGAGTGTTATATATATCAGAACGAATTTAAAGAAATATACTTCAATTTATATTGTAGCTTCTTTAAGATTAAAAAAGATTTATATATTAGAAGTTTATATTTATTGGATTGTCTTCTTTGTTGACAGGGTTGATATTAGAATAAATATCTTACCATAAAGTGCAAAGTGTCTAAAGATTAACAATGACCCCACCCCCACACCGCACATTTTTCCAAACATAATTTTTTTTTATGAATGAAAATGTACTTAAGGTCGGTTGCCACCCATATATTTTGGTGCAGTATAGTCAAAGAAGGGTTAGTGCTAGTGTATGAAAAATCAGAGTACTGTGAGTACTGAATGACGGTGGCATGAATGATTTTGTTTGTTTAACGTCCCTTTCGAGAATAATATTTTGAGCAGCAAGAGTTTTACTGCGGCATGGGATCTGAATCAAGGGCGTGTCCCGCAGTTGAATCCGCGACGTAAGGATGGACTCCTTCAGGTCCGTGACTCCAGAGCAAACCTGCTTTGGGATCTGAATCAAGGGCGTGTCCCGCAGTTGAATCCGCGACGTAAGGATGGACTCCTTCAGGTCCGTGACTCCAGAGCAAACCTGCTTTGTCAAATGGCGACTGCATTCAATAAGATAAAATCTTGTAAGAATTTGTAGAATGATATGGAAATTACAAAAGTTTATTTAATTTTTTCACAATACATGTACGTGTATTTTAATTTATAATTTTTTATTTTTGTACTAAAAAGTAAAGTGTTGTTAACTCTCACTGTGATTTAAAATTTTCACTACTCTGAAGTACATTTTTCATCAAAATAAAAATACCAAAATTCAAATAGATAATGCATAAATAAATAAATTATTGTATTGTGTCGCCTTAAGACACACGGATGATAATGACAAAGTATCTAAAGCAGCGTCACGTTTCTTCTTTGCTAAAAACAAGTTGGATAACTCCATTTAAATTAAGGAGTTTCATTGATGCACATAGTTGAGTTTCCCTCAGGAACCAATCTCGCGCTCAAATGGGACCTTGTGAAGATTTATTTGTATTAAAGTTATGGACAATATTTTAATTATCATTCAAGTAAATCGGCTATCTTATATATTGGCGGACAAAAGTTACTTATCTATTTCATTCCTATTTTGAAATTCTATCGTGCCTCTAATAAGATTTACCCTTTAAAAATGAAGCGAGAAATTTTGATAACGGCAAATATCAGGCATCAGGCTTTGTGTCCATCAACGAAATGTCTTTAAAATATATAAATTGAAAGTATTTCTTAACTATCTACATTTCATTTTTAAACATCGAAACAAGTCTACATTCATTATTTTGACTCTGCAAAAATATCAGCTAAGGTCCCCGTGTGTTTACGTGTTGTTTATTCATAGCCTAGACCAGCAGCAATAGCCTGTGGCTATATAAAGCCACCTTCTAAAAAATTAGGTACTGAATAAAGTTCGACCTCCCTCTCAACTTCCACACCTCCAAGCAGGATTTTCGGGTTTGGGCAGTTTTTTTTGTCAGTTTTTTCATACTTGAAATAATATTTTTCTCTGGCTGCGATGCTACGTCTCTGTGATTATTAGTAATGCCAGTTCCACAATGGATAGAGTTTGTAACGTGGTATTTGAAAGTGGCCAGTGACCAAGTTTGTGAAATCAAGAATCACCTAGCCCCTTAAATACGTAAAGATAATGATTTCTCTTTGTTCAGGCACATAGGAAATAATAACTTTTTAAAAATCATTGTAATTAGCCCCCTCCCTTTAAAGACAGGGGTTTATCATGGTTATTGGACGTTATTTTGCAATTGACACAAGCATAAAGTTCCTGTTTTCTATAGTATCTTTTATCGGTTAAAATGCTTTTTAGTGTACCCATAAAAAACTTGAAAGGCAATGATAGTACTGATAAAGAAAGATCGCGTTCGCTTTCCAAATGGAGGAAAGACATAATAAAGAAGTTTTCAATTACTTATCTTGGTCTAAGGCTTAGATTTCTCGAATTGATTAAAAACTATATATACAATCCATACATGTACTTGAATTTATTCTATTGCATATCAAATTTTGTCGCATATCTTCGGTGATTTTCTTTGATCTTTCTGTGATGATATATCCCATGTCACATATGCGATAATACTTTCCATGCCCCTTAATGTATCACTGCAGGAGGCAGAAATCAGGTCAATTTCTTTTTATTGAATTTTGACACTCTCAATGAAATCAGATATGCGACAAGTTGCTTACATCATAGATTGCCTCGTACTATTGGTTATATCATTTTCATGGCGCCCGAGATTTCCACGCCCCATGAAAACGATATTATCAATAGTACGAGGCATCTATGATGCAACCTATACGTAAATAAGTCTAAATTAGCTGCAGAAATGTAGCATTACGGCTTTATATTTAGTCTCTGACCATAGCGTTATGCACAAAGACTGAAATATACTAGTAAAACATATAAATCAAAAGTTCAACAATCAAGTCTCACTGCAGAGATGTACAATTGTTTATAAATTTAATGAAATATAATATACCCTTGAATTCCTGTGCAATGTAAAGACGATCTTTAATATTTCATAATAATAACAATTTTCTCCCTCATCAATGTTATAATTTAAAAAAAATTCGATCGACCTACTTAATTCGCAATTCAACGATAAGACCACATAATATTTCTATATATACGTATTTACTGTTTTATTTAATGAGAAGAACAAGATTTTATATATTTTTTTTTCCAAAATGTAATCTAAATTTCATTTTTATTTCGGTTTGATACATAAAACAAATTTTTCTAGCATTATCATTTTAGTAAATGACCCATTTGTTATAAATAAATCTAACGATTTCTTGATACTAGTAGTAAAACATAATTAAGGGAGTAATTAAATGTTGAACCCACTTTTGATTGGTTAGTTTGGATCTTGAATTTCGAAACTCGAATCTCGAATGAGCCTTCCAGGCTTTCGAAGATAAAGGAATAGTTCCGAATACTGATGTGTTTAAATAAAAATTAGATGCCACTCGCTGTAAAGTGATATTCAAGCCAATCAAAATTCTCTTTCCCAGCCAATGTGATTTATCAGTTAATACTTGAACTGACCTAATCATTCTATTAATCATATATTTTTCTCTACAAGTTCAATGGGATATATCGAGGCGACATATGAATGAAAGTATAACATACATTGTTAATTGATAAAGCATCGACAATATATCTGAATTCTACGAAACGCTATTAGGGTAAATCTGTGGGATAAGAATTAAAAGGCGTTATAACGCCTTTCAAATAGGCCTAATAACGCGAAAAGGGCCTTCTAACGCCTTTCCAAAAGGTGTAATAACGCGAAAAAAGGCGTTATTACGCATTTTTAGAAGGCGTTATTAAGCCTTCTTAAAAGGCGTTATTACGCCTTTCCAAAATTGATTTTATTTAGTGATAAAGTATACAAGCTCATATATATTGATGGAATAATACTTAGCACATGTACACTGTAAAGGAAGTTGAAATGACCGGTGTCGCATAATATTTGGTCCGCCTCGTTTAAATGTCCGGCGTAAAAATCACTCGGATATTCTTGTATTATGTTAATAATTATATGAAAAAATGAATCAAAACCAATTTTACTTATGCAATATTAGTTTTTTTTTATATTCTTGAACCTTTTGTAAGGACGTTATATGCCTTTAGGAAAGATGTAATAATGCATTTTGTCAAGGCGGAATAACGCCTTTTGGATATGCGTAGAAACGCCTTTTGAAAAGGCGTATTAACGCTTTTTTTGGTGTTATTACGCCTTTTGGAAAGGCGTGTTAACGCTTTTTTCGCGTTATTACGCCTTTTGGAAATGTCTTATATCGCCATTAAATTTTTTCCCCATAGATTATTCCTAATAGGCTTTCGTAGATTGATTGATTGATTGTATATTGTTTAACGTCCCTCTCGAGAATTTTCACTCATATGGAGACGTCACCGGTGAAGGGCTTCAAATTTAGACCTATACTCGGCACTCAGGGCCATTGAGCAGTGAGGGTTCTTTATCGTGCCAGCGCCTACCGTGACACGGGACCTACGTTTTTAAGGTCATATTCTAAAGACCCATGACTTTCACTTCTGATGCCGAGGGCTTGGCGAAGGAACAGTCGCTACCTATTTTAACGTCTTAGATTTGACCCGGCGCCGCGAACGAGAATCGAACCCGGGCCTCCCGATCACGAAGCGAACGCTCTAACACTAGGCTACCGTGAACGGTAGGCTTTCGTAGAATTCGAATTAAAGGCAACGGAAAATTGTTTTCTTATTCTCACATGGAAGTTCTTGAAAAAAAATCTAAGAATATAATGACAGGTCAGCTTATAAAGAGCACAATTAGTGCCAATCGGAATGTCATCAGTTTTTTTTTTTTTTTTTTTTTTTGCAAAACTCATCTCCGACAATTTTATAAATGTTCTCAACGTAGAACTCCAGCCTTCTTATACTGCTATAAATAGAGGGTGGTTCCATTATTCACATAATTTTGTTCCATTATTCACATAATTATGCATGTACAGGTTCTTGCTGTAAGGATATAATTAGTGTTTTTTATCAAGCTGGTTATAATTAAATTTAAAGGAACCATTGGTTTAAAAAAAATTGTAAAGAGCGGAACAGTATAAGCATGTTTATACTGATTTTTATGCCCCCGTAAACGAAGTTTCGGGGGTATAGAGTTTTTGTCGTGTCCGTCCGTCTGTCTAGCTGTCTGTCTGTCTGTTTTTCTGTTTGTCCGCAAAAACTTTAATCTTGCCCATAACCTTTGATTTAATGGAGCTTTGACTTCCTTAATTCACATGTGTATTCATTGTGACAAGATCTCTTTTTTGAAGTACTTTTACACAAAAATTCCAAAATTTTTACTTTGGCCATATCTTTTGATAGTAGATACCAGGACTTTTATTCTTTGCATATGTATTCTTTGTGCCAAGACCTTTCATTGGATACTAACAACTTTGACCTTTTGACCTTGACCTTGGAGATTTCCGTACTTTAGAAAAAACTTTAACCTTGACCATAATTTTTGAATGGTAAGGGCAAGGGCTTTCATACTTCCCATATGTAATCCTTGTGAAAAGACCCTTTATTCGATACCAAAAACTTTTACCCTTTGACCATGACATAGGAGTTTGACCTACTTTAAAAAGCAAACATTGACCATAACGTTAAAAGGGTTAGAGCTATAGTGCTTTTATACTTTACATATTTAATCCTTCTGCGACAAGACCTTTCATTTTATATCAAGAACTTTGACCGTTTGACTTTGACCTTGAAGTTTGACTTACTTTTTAAAATTTTTAACCTTAAAGTTTGCCATTTCTTTTTAACGGTTTGGGATAAGGCTTCCATAATTCACATATGTATTCTTTGTGGCAAGACCTTTCATTGGATACCAATTACCCTTTTGATCTTGACCTTGGAGATTTCCATACTTACGAAAAAACTTTAACCTTGCCCATAACTTTGGAACGCTGTGGGCAGTGCTCTCATACTTCACATATGTAGTTCTTGTGAGAAGACCCTTTATTGAATACCAAGAACGTTGACCCTTTGACCTTGGAGTTCGTCTTACTTTTTAAAAAAAAACCTTGACCATAACTTTTGAAGGATAAGGGTTGGTGCTTTCATGCTTTCATACTTTTAATATTATTACTTGTGATCAGACCTTTCATTTGCTATCAAGAATTGTTGACCCTTTGACCTTGAAGTTTAACCTACTTTTTAAAATTTTTTAACTTTGGCCATAACTTCTGAACGGTTAGGGCTAGGGCTTCCATACTTCACAAATGTATTCTTTGTGGCAAGACCTTTTATTGAATACCACCGAGACCTTTTGACATTGGGAGATTTCCGATTTCTGCACTTATGAAAAAACTCTAATCTTGGCATACATGTACTTTCTGGAGCATGCAAAGTTGAGAAATATGTTCTAACAACTTTTGTAAAAGATTGTTTCAAAATTCATGGCCTGCCTACATTCATTACAGGTACTTGAAACCATGGTAAGTTATTTAACTTTTCTGCACACGTGTACAATAGGGAGGAAGAAGTAAAACAACATTTTTGTTATTGGACATACTGAAATTATTTTTACTCAATTTTTTCTTCATAAAAATAGATTTTCTAAAGTTCTGAAACCTGCAATTTTCTGAAACCAAATGTTTTCCAGGGCTTGAACAAAAATTATACGGGTCATGCAAAAATTCTACGTTTGTCAATTTTCCCATTTGTGCGTCACGGTCTATTTAACGATAACTTTAATAAATATTTATAATATATCGATGATGATGACCTGAAAGAGCACGTCTTTTTTCATCTAAACACTTCTGATACCCCTGTCTGTTTCTGTAAGAAAATCCCAGCTTTAAACTAAATCATAAGAATCTAAAATGCTTGGGACAAAGAATATATATAGAGAGAGATTTGATACCTAAAGTGCACTGTAAAGCAAAGAATACTGCACAATATAAGTGTAAGAAATATCACAAAGAGTTTTGAAGTTTGTACACAATGTAAGCTCAAACTTGATACAAGACAAGTACAATTTTAACGATTCCTTGTTTCTTCTTATCTAATTTTGTTAAAGTGTTTAATTTAAAATAGTTAGACAATAAAATTCAAAAAATGATATCATATGTTCCCTTAATATCTCTAAAACATTTTATCATTAATTTTTATTATACTTTTCGACGAAAAGTTTGTAATCATTTTTTAAGATAAAGACATTGCAACAATTAATAAATGCATTGCCATTTAACATATTTAAATAAAAGATATGTAATTTTGGAGGCGCAAATGTTGTTTGATGAAATATAATTTCATTTTCTTAAATAATAATAATACTTCCTACAGAGAAGGGTATATCATCGACTGCTGGTTACACCTGTACATTACTCTGATGAGTGGCGGAAATTGTTCTTATATACTGCAGGAATGACAAATGTTGATATAACGAGATTTCCTCACTTAGAAGTGGAGTAATCTTATCACATATTCAAAATAATGTGTAAATACACAACGCATTATATGGGACAAATAGGAAATGGTGTTGTGATCCTGTTTCTGTTATGGCACGTGCTACTCGTGTACCTTTAGACAAAGGATGGGCATGGATGGTGGTACTAGGTAAGCATTTCCATTTTTTTATGTCAGCAATTTTTTTTTAACCTTCAACTACTGTACATCACTTTAATATAGCAAGTTAATTGATATTTTCTTCGCGTTTTTTTTATCATTTTAAGAATGACATTTGTCTTTCACACATACACAAACGCACACGACCTTGCGCACAAGTAGATGTGTCCTTCATGTATGTTTACTTTTAAGAGGTATATTTGTCATTGAATTCGTGATTTTCTGTTTAAAGAAGCAGTTATAAATTTTAGAATAAGACCATTCTTACTGTTAAGTATTAAGATCACCGGGCTTGCTGATAAGATTTCTGTTAAAGATCTTTATATATCAAATATTTTTTTTCCTGAATCTTCACATGGGAGTGAGACATATCTTGTCTCTTATTTTATTACATGTATTTCATTTAATTATTTTTGTTCTTTAAATCTACCCATAGAACTACCGGGGTTGCCCGGTTTATGACCTGATCACAGTTTTGTAAGCTAGATAGCGAACGTTCTTTGCTTCCTTCATCCTTGTCGTTATTTACAAGCCAATTATTCCAACAAAATAAAAAAGAAAATGCATGACCTTAACAAACATATATAAACCTGACCTGAATTTATCTCTTCTTAATTGTTATATTTTTATAACCATCATGCATGGTTTATATATAAACCATTTTTCGAGCCCTCTATTTACAGAAATATAACAAGTCGTTCTCTTCAAATCAATTTCCAAATTAAAAATCCAGAAGTGGACATCCAGAGGTGCAGTTGTTGCGTAATTTTGATCTAAGGGAGCTTGCAAATACTTAGGATTGGACTGAAAATAATTCAAAGTCGCTCATCTAAAAATTATTTCTCGAATCAAATATTTGCATAGAGCTTTATAGTTTTCATCATTTTGTGCATAATCCATGCAAGTTTGGTTTTGATAGGCTTTATGGTTTCTAGGTAATGGACATGTGTAAAAATATATGACTCCGGTCACTCATTTTGAAATCTGAATTCAAATCAAATATCTGAAGCAAGAAATGAGGTGTACAACCTTTGCAAATACGTCAAGTAGTATTGAATCTGCTACAAAACCTTTAACTTCGTCATTCATTCGGTAACTGTAGGCCAGATCTAGCATTCAAAGCAACAGCATCTGCTCTAACAACTTAAAACCTGTTCTAAAGGATCCTGGTCATTCTCAAACGTTAACTGTAGCATCTGAATTCTTGGCTGGTTTAAAGGAAAACGATCTCTGATTTATATAGGGCATAGAATTATATGAAAAACTGCTTCAAAACCTTTAAGCTCGGACAACAACGCCGAGAGTATCATGTAATTAAACTCCCCTAACTTCGTTAAGGCGAGCTTAAAATGTAAATTTTATTCACTTGTTGACATTAATAATTTGTTTTCATTTTTTAGGGACATTTGGAAACTTGGCGCTAGTAGTCGGGATTCTGAAGTCCTTTGGAGTACTTTTGGTTGAGCTGTCACATATATACAATGTACCGGCTAGTTTGCTTGCCTCCTCACAATCTCTCTGTGGCTGGCTACATTTAGGACTGGGTAGGTCAGCAGCTCTCTCTCTCTCTCTCTCTCTCTCTCTTTGACGAAATTTATTCCACAATAAAAATAAGCCTCTCAGAAGAAACTGTATATAAATGGATGATGCTCGTATAGCAAATCGATTGCTACTATGTTAACACAAACGTGAAAAGAGAAAGATGAAAGTAACTTTTACATACTGGTACATATCAAGGGTAGCGAGTAATCTGTCTTTTATTATTTGTACATGTACAGCCCCGTTGTCGAACAACCTCAGTCAGCGGTTCAGTCACCGCTTGGTGGTATTCTGTGGCGGTGTCCTGTCAGTGGTAGGATTGGTCGCCACAAGCTTTGTCAGAGATGTTGGGTGGTTCTTTATAACATACGGAGTCATCACAGGTAGGCAATAGCAATAGTGTAAGATCTGAATTATACCACTCTTCCTTAATACATTTACAAGATTATAATCAACATCGACTAATTCCTTTTTAATTCCATTGCAAGAGTAGGCCAATTTGTTTTCTTTTACTTACAGGACTCGGGTTTGGGCTCATCTTGGCACCTGCGCTAGTAATGCCGGGACTTTATTTTGAAAAGAAGCTTCCATTGGCCCTTGGTCTCAGTTCCTCCGGTTCGGGATTGGGATCCTTCATATTCCCAAACCTAATGAGATTTCTTCTGGATGAGTATTCTGTTGGCGGTTGTTTGCTCATCATGGGAGGAATTATGCTACATGTTTGTCCATTTGCTCTTCTTTATCGACCAACACTGTACTGGGAGAAGAAAAGTTACACAACAAATAAAACAAAACATATTTAATGATTTATCTTTAAAAAAGAAAAATATCAGCAAGTAAAGTAAACGACTGAAATACTCCCCCTTTTTTTGTCACTTTCATCGCAAGTTTAAGGGGGATGTCGGCACCTTTAGTGAAGTGAGAACAAAATGTAAACATTTCTTCAAATGGCTAAAATACATTATATTTTGATCAAATTTTAAGTCCTTATGATAAAGATACAATAAATATGCATAACTGAATGCATGTTGTGTATATATAATCTATACTTTTGCAGAAAAATGCTTTTGATATGCTCTTTAGAACTGCGCAGCTACAGAATTCAATAGAGCCTTAAAAAATCCAAAAAAATATGCAAACTGTGCATTAATGTTCTATCTACAACCATTTGTTGAGAAAATGTCTAAATTTTGCACTTTTAAATGATAATTTTAAGTTCAAAACAAGGCACCGTTGTCTTCAAAAAGAGTGCAAAGAACCATGAAAGTAGTTCATGGATAGCAGCACGTGGTCTATT